ATTAATGTACATTATTGTTAGCTTTTATCAGGAAGATAGTGCACCATGATGAGATACTGAGTACCTCACCCCTATGTTGTATGACACATGTGCCTCATCATGACAATTTTCTTCATGTGCTCTTTGCCCTATTGGAACAAACATGAGGTGATGCTAATTGAAAAAAAAATTCAGCATGATTTGTTATTACTGTCAGTTTATTTAAGGCTAACATCATGGTTTGTATCCATTTTTTAAGGATTTTATTTGTGGATATCAGATTTTTATGATTTTTATTTGTGTATATCAGTTGTACAAAATAATAGATTTTGTTGTTAATTTTCCACAACTTCTACATAACTTTGTAGGTGTATAAAAACATATTTTTTTTGCTCTGCATCTCTCCTCTTTTCCTGTCCATTTATAGATTCATTTTCGGTTTTGTCTACTCTAAGAAAATAAATGCTTCTACAATGTTTTTCAGTGAGATTTAATTCTTATGGTCTGACTTGGTTTTGAAATGCTTACTTGCTAAACTGGAGTGAAAAACCAAACCCACGGACAGGGCTTAGTGCATAAAGCATTTGCCACATATGCCTGAGGACCTGAGTTCAGATTCCCCAAGACCCAGGTAAAGCCAGGCATAGTAGCACCTCCCAGTGTTCCTATGGCAAGATGGGAAGTGGAGACAGGAGAGTCCCTGGAAGCTGGAGCAGGCCAGCTAGTCTATCTCAAACAGGGTGGAAGGTGAGGACCAATACCCAAGGCTGTCCTGTGACCTCCATGTATACATACACACCCACACTCACACAGAAGAACACACATAACACACACTATATAATATGCATATATGTAAATAAAATGGAAAAACCAAACCAAGCTAAAAGCTGTAGTTATGTTTCTCCTCTAAAATACAGGTCTAGCACTACTGTGCTGATTGTTTTCTACAGATATGAAGCCAGTTGAGCTTCTCTGAGATGCCTATAAACACCGTATGGGATCAACTCAATGCCCATGGCATCCAGCAAAGAATTAGCATTTGACAAAGCGCTCCCTGGGGAAAACAGCTGCATCTATGAAAAGATTAACCAGGCAGGCCTTTAAAGAGCATCTATTGAGGCTTCACCTTTCAAGTGCAGTCCCAGAAAGCTCTCACCTGAGCCTTCCATCTGGGTGGCCTAGACAGGTGGATAGGTATGTCAGGGTTTAGGTTCACAGGTCTGCAGGGTATAGCTCTGTCACATATTAATAGTTCACAAGGTAAACCCATAAAGTACTGTCATCTGGAAGTTTTAGTTATTAGCAGAAAAATGCTTTTTGTGTCCAGATACATACATGAAGCTGGATAGAAGACATTTCTTTCCATTCAGAGGCATGATTTGCATGTGGTAATAGTACTCCAATGTCTCCAGCCCTTGATTAGGGTTTCCAGAGGATGCTGCAAGTAAGTTAGGCAGGGCCCGGCTGGGGGCCTCTATCGGCACAGTGCTGAAGACTTCCTTGAAACATAGCACAATTCCCTGCTAGAGAAGATATATCTTGGTCTCTGAGATAATAGACGTTATTTTGAAATACCAAAATGAACCCACAGTGAGAGACATTCACCCCTTCTGCTCCGGTTTGCTAGGGCTGCAACTAAAATGTTCTATAGACTGAGTCTGTGTTATGGTTTGAATAAAATGTCCCCACAGACCCATGTTTCAAATGCTTGTTCCTAAGATGGTGGGACTATTTTGCGAGGCTGTGTATCCTTTAAGAGTGGGGGCTAGCTGACAGAAGTAGGCTACTGGAGGCCAGCTCTGAAGATGGCAGCCTGGCCTGGGTTTCCACCTCCTCCACTGCTTCTTTGTCCCCTGTGATATGCAGAACCTCTGTCACATGCTCCAACCACCATGAACTGAGCTGCTCTGCCATGTGCCCCGAGCCACGATGGGCTGAAACTCTCTGAAACAGTGAGCCAAAATAAATCTTTCCTCCCATGAGTTGTTTCTGACAAAGCAATGAAAAGCCAGGTAATAGACATAGATTCCACAGCAGAAATGTATTGTCTGGGTTCTGGAGGCTGGAAATCTAAAGTCAAATGGTCCAGATTTTTAGCAGGATTGGCTCCTGTTAAGAACTAAAAGGGAAAAGTTCCTCCAAGCCTCTCTCTTTAGCTTATAAGTGGCCATCTTTTCCTTGTGTCTTCATGCAGTCTTCTCTAGACATGTCTATGTCCAAATTTCCTCTTCGTATATGGACAGCAGTGATTCTGGATTGGAATTAACCTTAATGAATTCATAAGTTTAAGCATCTCTACATAGACCCTGTCTCCATATAAGGTTTCCTTCTAAGGTACCGGAGACCAGGGTTTGACATGGGAATTGGGGCAGGAGATGCCATTCAGCTTCTAACACCTTCCTGTAGGTGCCTGTAGGCACCAGAGATCAGGAATTCAACATGGGAATTCGAGCAGGGGATGCCATTCAGCTTGTAACACCTTCCAGTAGGCGTTTTGGTTTCAGAAAGTACAAAGTCACTTTGTTTCTGGTTTTCTCCATAAAAGAATAGACAAATGGGGAGTATGAAAAGGCTTGTTCATGCCTATATTTCTTTGCCTGCTCTTTTAAGTGGAGAAAAAGAAATCAAATAAATTCCTGATAAGGCTGGACCTAGCTGTCCATAGCACTGAGGCCGGCCAGGCTGAGAGTTGCAGTGCCAGGACATGGCTCCCAGATCAGTCCCAGGGTTCACCCGGTACAAGGCAGGGACATGTACATCAAGGCAAGTCTGGAACAAAGGCCCACGTAATGATAGTGTGATGATACTAAATGACTCCTGCCTGTAAACAAGGCAGGAGTTCTGAGAAACTGGCCCTTCACTTAACAGATGGAGGAAGGACAATTTCACCTTGAAGTTTAACAACCTAGCAACGAACTCTTGTTTTGTTTTGTTTTCTCACACCATTATGCAGCTAGGAGGAAGGCCCTCAGACCTTTAAGAATAGCATTTTCGTCATCAAATACAATGTTAGCAGCTGGTCTTGGTGGCAACACCTGCAATACTAGCACTTGGGAGACTAAGGCAGGTTGAGTTAGAGGCCAACCTGAGCTGTATAGTGAGACCCTGTTTCCAAAAAAAATCTCAAATAAAAATTGTAATGTTGACAATAAGACTACCTGGTACCATTCCATTGTTTTACACCTCATATGTGCCCCTTGAGTGTTGTGCCACCAAAGGTGCCCTCAGGCCTCAATCTCATTCTTTTTCTTTTCTTTCTTTGTCTGCTTTTTTGTTTGTTTGTATTTGACACAAGGTCTTATGAAGGTCAGGCTGGCACTGAACTCACTATAAAGTCAAGGATGACTCATAATCCTTCTGCCTCTACCTCCCAAATTCTAGGGTTACTTACAGGCATATACCATCACACCCATTTTGTTTATTTGTCTTCTGAGAGAATGGGATCTTACTCTGTAGCTCAAGCTATCTTTAAACTCACAGCCGTCCTCCCGCTCAGTTTTTCAATATTTGGGACTATAGGCATGAGTCACCACACTCAGCCTTAATCTGATTTTCCTGAATTAAATATTTTATTTTCATTTTATTGCATTTTATTTAGTGGTTGTGTATATTGTGTACTCTTGCAAACCACAGTGCATGTGTGGAGGTCAGAGGACAACTTTCAGGAGTCTGTTCACTCCTTCTACATGTGGGACCCGAAGATTGAATTCAGATTCTTATACTGGGTGTGGTGAGTGCCTTAACCTGCTGAACCATCCCTCCAATCCTGTTTTGCTTTTTGTCACTTAGTTTTGACTTTTGCTTAAAAGAATAAAATGATCTTAAACTCTCCAGAGATTTTAATGTGTGCAGAACTACAAGTTGTGTCCTTTTCCTTCCAATCTGACAATCCTTACATTTCTTTTCTTCACAGACATCTAAAGTGAATGCCTGGGGAAGCCATGAGGGACAAAGTGGTAGGTGGTTTACTTTTTAAGGAAAAGAAAAGAGGCTTCCTTTTGAAGAGGAGAACAGCACATTAGCCAGTTGCACTATTTCAACCAGGGGACAGGGTGAGGTGACATTTTTAGACAACTTGAGCTTGTGAACAACAGAGTGAAATTGTTCTCATCTTCCTCCTGAAAAAGCACAAAGTGAACTATCTTAAACTCAGCAAAGAGCCCCAAACACCATCCTGTTAAGTTTCACTGAAAATGTTGCCTGGGGGAGGGGACAAGTTGGAAGGCACTCACACACAGCCTAGAAGCTAGAGGGCAGAGGGACTAGAGGGAAAGGTTCCTCCTGGATGCTTGGATTGTCAGACTGACAAGGTGCGGAAAGATGTAGGTGGCCTGTTTATGTCACTTTACCCAAACAAGATGCATCCTGTGGCATGCGTAGCCTGAGTCTAAACATGCCTTGTCCCCTTGGCACGGTGTTTGCGCTCAAGCAAAGAAAGGCTCTGGGTGGGTTTGGAAGGGCTGGCTTCCCAGTTGTGTCGGGCAAACAGCAGATCAATTACATCATCTGCGCCTTAATAAAGGGGAATACTAGCTTCCGAACGCCATCAAACGTGTTGTCTTCCAACGGGAACAGAAAACACACCACCAACCTCGACAGCCAGTCTCTCTGGGCTGTCCCGGTGACTTCAAGGTGACCCACAATGACAAAGCCCCTGGGAGCAGCTTGCACAATAGCTTAGAGCATCGTCCTGGCGGCGATCATTGCCGGGACTGAGCAACCAGCCACCCTGGCTCTCTCTGGTAACCCTGCAGTCTGGGTTCGGCGAGACCTCTCGGCCGCAGTACCAGAGGCAGACGATAGATAGCGCACGAAGCTACCGGCTTGGTCCAGGACGCCGTGAGCCGCTGTGGACTGCGAGGCAAACGAGGATTTTGATTCATAAAACACATAAATTCGACGTCATGAACAATAATAGTAAAGGAAACTGACTACTGGGCACCATAGAGATGAATTTTTAAAGCCCCGAAATCAAGTTATTTGAGATTATTTAATTTAATTTACTACATTTGAATAACTGCGATGTAATGGGGCATGCCGGGCTTGGGTTTTATAGCTTCTAAATGCTTCTCTTTAGGGTGATTGCAGTCAGTTGCACCGTCGCCAGAGAACTCTGTCCCCCATCTCCAAGCTGTATAAACAAATTGAGGAGAGAATAATTAAACACTGAGAGAAAGACAGGGGAAATCTATGGAAGCCAGAGAGCCCCAGCAACAAAATAGCCCCTTCTAGCTAATAAACAATCTCAAAAGTACTTAAAGATCAGTGATGGTGACTTTATTAAAATCATCCCGGGAACAAATCTTAAGCTAAGCATTTCCCAAGTGCATCTTGTAGCAAAATCCTCATTTCAGAATAAAACAAAATCTATGGCCATGTTGATCTCCCCTTCAATATTGTTTACGTTGATGAATGTACATTTCCAATAGTTTCTCAGCTGGAAAATAAGTGCACAGAAGAGTCTAGAAACTGTGCTCTTCGAACAAAGAATTTCTGCAGCCACATGTAAGAAGTTTCTTCATAAAAGGCAACCTTCCTGCTCTCTGTGTGGCTCCCGCACATACCTCCTATGAGAGGATGGGTATGTACAAATTGCACACAGGAAGTTGCACACGCACATATTAATTCAACTATCTCTGTGTGTGTAAGCATATACGGGGACACATGCTGTCTGCACACTACTCTCCTCTATTGTTTTCAGCATAACTGATTTTGGCAGCAGCTCGTTAGCACTTTGGAAGGGCCTTCATTAGCACTGGGATAGTATCCAAAAAGAATCCAGAAAAATCAACACATGGCTGCTCTTGTTCTCACGATAAATGACAGCTTTCCCGGAAAACAACAACAGTCAAGAATCAAAACAAAAACCAAAAAGCAACAAGAGTGGTAATAACATGAATCGGGAAGTCAGACATCATTAACTAGGACTTTTTCCAATTTTTAATTTATTTATTTATTCCATTTTTACAACTGTCTTCCTTTGCCACTGAGCCTCTGGGTACTTTCACATGATTGAAAATATAAATAACAATAGTATATTAAGAACCCTAGGGGGGAAAATACCCCACAGTCTTGTAGGCTCGTGTCTCTTCATAGAGAAAAACACGCTAGAAAACAGCATGCCGTCAGCTGCCTGTGCACCACACCAGCCCCTAAACTGAAAGCTGTCCACTGAAACTTCCATAGCTCTAATCCACAGTTCTTTGGAACCTGAATTCTGAAGACAAGAGCTTTCTTGGAAAACAGAATCTCCCTAGTTACCTGAAAATCTCATCTTGACACAGGAAGTTGGGTTGTTACGTGCTATGAAAATTCTGGGAAAGCAGCGATATCTAAACTAGTCAAAACTGGAAACACCTTATATGTATGCATATCCTAATATGCCTTCACACCCATGCCTTAATAGGTCGATTATATATCACACTTTGAAGAAAAGCAGTAGCCAAACCATAGAAGACAGTCCCTCAAAGGGTTAATTCCTTTATGCTTCAGCTGTCAAAACAACACTGGAAAATGGAAGTGTGCATGGTGCTTTAAGGCTGGCAGCTCTGCCCAGGAGAATAGCCACTTCACCGAGTCTAAAAGAAGGCACTGCTCGTGTCGCTCTCTGTTAGCCCTTTGCCTTCTCTGCCCTCAGTTTCTCACTTAGATTTTCCTGCTTGTTTGTACTGAACTTTCTTGAAATTTTTCAAGGAAAGGAAAGAAAGGAACAAGAAAGCAGTGAACTAATTTTTAAAGGGTGGGAGAAGTGTGCAGAATGCTTTAGGTACATGTTCTAGAACAAGAGGATGTACCACGGCCCAGGCAGAAGCAGGCTTACACCGTGCTGGTGATGAGGGAATGAGGAAACAAAGAAAGGTGGATATGAAAAAGGGTAAAGAGAGTGACAAAAGAGCCAGACCTCCCTCAACTGAAGGCATCCTGAACTGAGATTCTAGAACAATTCAAACTTCAGAAACAGCCTAGTGGTATGGAGCACAGAAAGGAAGCCACACATCTCCAAATTCATTCATTCCACAGCATCTGTTACTTCTGAAACGACAGGCAAGTGTCCAGCAGTAGGCATGAGAAAGTACGCGAGATAGCCTTCTCACGTCTTCTTCACGTAGAAAGATGGCCACCAAAAGATGGCCACCATCTTGCCTGACTTCAGGCTCATTCAACCCCACAAAGCCGGAAGGACAGAGGTGAGAAGGCTGTAAACCAGTGGCCTAAGAAAAGATCAAGCCCCAGAACAGAATAGTCCTAAAATTGTGTTTGTGTGGCCAGCATCTTAAACTGTCTTGGATTAATCTGCATGCTAAATGCACCTCTCCCAGGAGCTAAGTTACCATTCCAAATTATAGCTGAAGTATCTGTTGACAACAATACATCCTTAGAAATGGCTCCATTTCAGGCTATTGCTGAGAATCATTGTGAATAAGCTCACACAATCTCATGTCTGACAGAACTGTCTCACTTTCCACTGAGGGCCAGAAAGCCAATTGAAAGGTTTCCAAAAGGAGGAGAGCTTTCCAAGTAGATCTAAGGCTGCTTCTCAAAAACCTATTCAATACCCTTTCTCTCTTTCATCTCCCCCCAAGATGAAGTTAGAAGCTGACTGGTGTTTGGCAGGGAGACCAGTGTCAACATTCTCTACGTTTATTTATTTATTGGCAGATTGGAAGACAGCCACCATTTATGGTCCTTCATTCCCAAACAGAGGGAGCAGTGCTTGCTGGCAGCGATGTCTCCTAGCCACCTGACCAGCCTCTCTGAACAGCTAGAGGGGTTCTGGGTCAGGCATTAATTGTTGACCACCATGTCTACAAGACAGTTAATGTCACCTGGACTCAGAAAGACCTCAATTAAAGAAGGCAGTGGACTGTAAGCATTCTGACTTAGCTCTTGCAAACACAAAACTTAGAAAAGCAGAATCTGCTATATCCAAGCTAAGTTGCACAGCCCTATTACTCAGTCCGCTACTGATGTTCTGTTAGGGTGGTGTGACTGGGGTGAGATGTGAAGGCCTTAGAGAGGGTTCCAAGGGGATTTGTGGACACATGGATTGTTATGGAGCACCAACCTCTCCCCCAATCCTTCTCCATTTTAAACTGTCAGTAGCTATGACTACCCAAATGTGACCCACACAAGATTGCGCTTGTTAATGTTCCATCTTAGAGAGAGGGGCATATGAGGTCCCACCTCCTCTCTGAGGATATATAAACAGCTATTGGTTGGTGATGGGAGGGTACATTTTCTTCAGTGGTTTAACCACCCATAAGTTGCCCATGAACCTGTAGGCAACCCCAATTAAACTCACTGGTGCCCTATCTGAAGTAAACAGAGGTTATTTTCATCTTCCCAGAAAGAGTTAATATGACATAGATGCTAATGTATATGTTTGTGGGAAATGCCCTTCTGAGCAACGGCAAAATAAACTGGGGTTTGTTTTAATGTAGTAAAGAAACGTGAGCATTAGCTTTGGGAGATTGCAACAGTCCTTGGGATTCTGAAGGGAAATTAAGATGGTGCTTGGTTAAATGAGAGTATAGAGCTAGTCTCCACTTCCATCAGAAATCAGAAAATTTAGAGCTGATAGGTCCTTGGTGATGGCCGAGTCTGCCCTCTTCATCTGACCTGTGAGGAAGTCTGCTTTGTCTGTCTGTTTGTTTGTTTGCTTGCTTGCTTGCTTGTTTGTTTTGGTCTTTTTTGAGACAGGGTCTCCCAATAGCCCCAGCTGGCCTGGTCACTATGTAAACCAGGCTGGCCTTGAACTCACAGAGATCTGCCTCCCTCCCAAGTGCTGGGATTAAAGGCATGTGCCACCACACCTGGCAAGAAGTCTGCTTTTATTAGGGAAAGATTCTGAACCACAAGTTGTTCTACCAGGTCTAAATGGAGTGTGGGGCTCTCACTTGGCTGCAACAACACTAGAAGGATTTGTTTAAACATTATTAGATGCACAGATACCCCCAAAGATGCTTGTGCTTTGGGTAAATTCTAAACTGAGACAGGCAAGTATGTTCCATCAGGAGCACTGCAGGGCTTGTGCAAGACACAAGAGGCTTCGGCAATAGGTCTTGTTTGGGGGGTGGGGAGGCATACTGGGTATGAAACCTAGGGCCTCATATGTGCTAGGCAAAGGTTCTACCACTTAAGCAACATCCCCAGCCACAGCTTCTGACATATATACTACCACATGATAAAATAAGACCACTCCCAGAGGGCTTCCTATTAGTGTGTTAGAAAGCTCGACTGCACCAAGGCCTAGGAGAGCACAGGTGTATGAAGTGCAAGAACCAGACTCATCATGAAACCTAGAGAACCTTCTAGAAAGTGACTCAGCTGTGACTTCCCAGGTTGTCCAGACTTATAGGCAATTTCACAGGAAGCAGGTTGTGGACACACCATATAAGTTACTGAAGTTACTATCGCCACAGCTGCAGCATGAAATTTCCCATTCGCTCCACAGCCTCTGAATTCAGAGCAAAATTACCACCAGCTGTACTTGAAACTTTCTCCATTGCAAATGAGGAGCAAAACATCTCAGGTGATGGTGCAAAGGGAGGAAAATTGAAGGAATCCCTTTTCCACTGAGCTTGTCAAGGTTAAGCAAAGCCAAGGTCAATCATACCACTCCTGGAGATGTCACCTAATCTCCAAGAAGATCTTCTGCAGGTCAGAGAACAGGACAAGACCATCCTACGAGATCAGAAAACACACAATTAGATAATCATGTCCATAGGAGAAATGTGACCAGAAATTTTTCAGCGGTTTATATGTTAATTACTGTGGTCAAAATGAGGTCTGTAGTATGTTTTCAGGTCCTGGGGTGTGCTCCTTTCTGCCCTCTGTATCTTTGCATTCACCATTCCCTTTGCCACCTGCAATCCATCTTTCCTCTCCACTGGGTCATCCTCAAATCCCCAAACAAATATTATCATACTTTCTCAGTGATGTCTTACAGGATTCCCAAGGCAGAATTAAGCATTCTCTCTCTCTCTCTCTCTCTCTCTCTCTTCAAATGCTATGTATTATACACATCTACTTAATACTTGTTCTATTAGAGTATAAGGAACAGTAAGGAGAAAAAAATGTCATGTGTTTTGTGGTCAGAGAAAAGAGAATCCATACCCCAACTCCCCCATTTACAAGCTCTGTGTCCTTGGGCAAATTACTCAAACTTCTTAAACCTTAGAAAAATTCCATGCATAAAATGGGGGTGATAAGGCCTATTTTTAGCAAACTCTTTGATGATGACCTGAAGGTGGAAAATAATGCCCTTAGCACTGTGTGTGTGTGTGTGTGTGTGTGTGTGTGTGTGTGTGTATATACATAGGTTTTTTTGACACAGGTTCAGATTGGCCTTGAACTTGCTATGTATTAGAGGATGGCCTTGAACTCCCCATCCTCCTGCCTTCGCCTCTCTCACAATCAAAATTTGATAAATTAGTTCCCTTGTTCTTTCTCTTACATCTTCCCTCCAAAGGCAAAAACATGCTTCCCTTTGAGTTACCAATAATGTCAAGTAGAAGACCTTGAATGTACCAGGGACTTAATACAGATGTTCTTTCATTAATATTTACATAACTAAGACCAAACGAGGCCAATTTTTAATAAACTAAACTTATTTAACCACCAGCCCATCATGAATTGATAATACTCTAAATGGCAAATGCATTGTATTCACCTGACCTACTGCACACTATTAGCTATAAGGTACACTGCAAGGTGTGAACTATGGCTTGCTTCCTCTGCCCAACAGCACAGGGGAGTCCTCAGACTGAACAGCACTAATCTGGGAAAAGATCAAAATTCAAAGTGCAGTTTCTGTTGAATGTGTGTTGCTTTTACTATTGTAAAGTCAAAAAAGGTTGATCCATAGCATGTTACGAACCATCTGTGCATACAATCATGCAAAGAATGTGATAACTGAAGCCAAATAGGGTTCAGTTATTAAGAAGGACAGACTTAGGAAGAGCCCTAACCAAGGACTAGAGAGATGGCCATGGCTAAGAGACCATGCTCAGCATCCAGCAATTGATAACTTTGTTACTCCAGCTCCAGGGTATCCAACGCCTTCTTCTGGCCTCTGAAGGCACCTTCACTCACTTGTACGTACCCCCCACAGACACACACCAAATAAGTGAAAACAATAAAAACTCTTTTTAAAAAGAGTCCTAATCCAAGGTATTTGACCCAATAATCAAGAAAGAGAACGTTCAGAGGTGGCAAGTAGCAGGAACCTGGTGTCTCCCACGCACCCCTGCTTCCAGGCAAGCTTTCCCACCCTTGCCCAGGCCTGCACATGCTCACCTGCAGAGGTGATGGGGTACCAAGCCCTCATGACCTTCCTGGGGCCACAGCATGATCAGACTCTTTTCCCTGGAACCAGGAGACTAGTGCCAGCCTGTGGGCTGCTTTCCTAGGAATGAATCCCATCTAACTATTAGTGGTTAAGGGCAATTTCTCATCATCCACACTAATACCGCTTCATTCAAATTGGAAATGATAGATGATTAACAGGCATGAGGAAACATGTTGTGCTACATTCAGAAAGGATGCAAATGACAAAAACACGTTGCCTTCTGGACAGGCAGGGAAATGGCGTGTAGCAGCGCACACCCGGCTCCTTGCACCTCCGTGTCTGGCTAGACGGTTTTACGGCATTTAGCAGTACAGTGCGAAGGCACCCACGGCACACCATAACTCTCACAAAACAGCATTCTCATGTGCTAATGGCAACCGAATCAGAAACACATGGATTTAATTTCCTTCAAAATACCCACGGGTATAAAAATCAATGCAGGAAAGCCATTTGGCTAACTCTATTTCGGGCTTTTCTGAGCCCCAAAATTGTGAGAAATTGTTGGAAATGACTGCTGAGCTCCAAATCCCACCAGGTTGAGCCCTCCCCCAGTGCAGCCCCAGCCTAATGCGATGTGAAGCCCCGGCTGTCTTTTTGGAGAGAGGCAGGTGCTTGCTGTGTGGTACCTTCACGGCTGCCATCTCTACAGCTTTCCTGCTTTGTGCTATTAGTTCATTTGCTCTGCGTCTCCCGCCACATTGCCGTCAGGGAGATCTCATTTTGGCAGCAGATCGGGATCCCTGCCTGAAAGTTGATAGAGGTTGAGCTATTTGCAGAAATAATGCTTTCCAGACGTACTAAACAGTACCCCTCTTTCCAGATGGAGTGGCATTAGTGTTGCTTCCAGCCATTTCCTCACCTTCTGCTGTACTTGTCAGTTCTCCCATATGCACCACAAGCCTTCTGTATTCTGGGGAATCTCAGAAAACTGCTCAGACTCCCGGCTTCTCGCTGTGTGCATGCAAAAATGCACACACACATGCACACACACGTGCGTGCACACATGCACACGCACACTCACACTCATTTATACAGCCTTCACTCTTAAGTATGCACATCCAGTTTTCCTTCCACCTCCTGGGAGTCAACTTAGATTTTATGAGAGAGCTAATCACTGAAAGTGAGAGTTTAGCAGCTCGGGGAATTAGGTATAAATACATAGGACACTGAAGAAGTCCCTTGCCTTTACTGGTTATTTCCAACATCAATATTCATGGCTGACTTTGGGTGTCATTGGCATGTCACATTGCTTCTCTGTGGCCTCTAGCTTCATCAAAGTCAGAGGCTGTTTACTGGAACTGGTTTAAGTCTATTTGTGTTAGTTCTGTTCTGTGGTTTGCAGGTCCTGTCCAAAACTCAGGTTGCAACTGAATTCTGTTGTAACAGTGTCATGGGATGAGACCTTTAAGAGGTGACTGGGGTGTGAGCGTTCTGCCTCATGAATGAATTAATGCTGTTATCCTGGGACAGACTGAGTTGCCATGGGAGTGGACTACTGAGAAGAATAGGCGGGTTCTCTGTCTGCATTTTCTGTCTTGTATGCTCCTTTGGCCCTTCTGCCTCCCACCATGAGATAACACAGCACCCAGGTCCTCACCAGATGTTGGCACCAGGCTCCCAGACTTCCCAGCCTCCAGAACCATGAGCCAAATAAGTTATTTATAACATATATAGTCTTGTGTGTTCTATTATAGTAGCAGAAAATGGGCTAAAACTGGCCCATATACAAGACTTTGGCCTGGCTATAAAACCCCATAATATGTGCTATATTCATGTGCTATTTCCTCACTGAGATATTACCCAGGTCTCTATATTTTATTAATTCTGAATGGTATGATCATGCACAGACTATATCAGGCACTTTAGCTGGCTCATGTGTAGAGTTCCTTCCCAGCTCTTTACTTCAATGTTCCTAGGGACTTTGATGCTGTAACTCACACTCAAGCCTTCAGGCTCAGTGGGCAGATGGGGCACTGGGCCATTTAGGTCCGGATGGGCATTCAGATTGTAAATCATTCATTTTCCTCCCAATAAGTACCTTCTTTGGTGTGCTGTTCTTTATTGTCTGAATTCCTCCTGAAGCTGAGCTTCCCTTTGGGATGGTGAGGAGTCAAGGAAAGAGAATGTCATACATGTGTGCCACTCTCTCCCCTCAGATGCTGCATCTTTATTTCACTTTCACCCATTTTATATTCAAGATGGAAAGGCTGTTCCAAAAATCCCAGCTCGATGGTGTCTATGTTTTCACAGAGAAATGACTCATGTGTCCCCAAGTGGATGAAGGGGCTATGATCAGCTTCTGAGGAGCCAGTCCTGGACTTTCAAAGCACTGCTCTGTGGCAGCGAGGTTGAACAGCTGAGGCTAATTACCAAACACAATTAAACAAGACCAAAGGAAAGCCACTTAATAAATGAAAACCATTGAATATAACTAATGCCTTCTTCTTGAACACTTTTTTACTAAGATTTGGTTTTTATTTTATTTTATATGTATGTGCATGTGTGTGTGCCTGAAAGTGTTATATGCACAGCATATATGAGCAGGCACCTTCAGAGACCTGAAGAAGGAAGGCATCAGATATCAGATCCCCTGGAACTGGAGTTACAGGTGGTTGAGAACCACCATGTGGGTGCTGGATACCAAACCAGGGACCTCTGCAAGAACAGAAAGTGCTCTTAACCACTGATCCATCTCTCCAGAATCCTTCAACTCAACTCTTTGATTCCTATTCAGAAGCAGTACATCATGAATGACCCAAGACAAAGTATTTACCCTCTGTTTCTCAGTTTCCTCATCTATAAAGTAGATTAAACACAATAAGGCATGTAAACTATCTTGCACAAGCTAGATACAATAAATGGTGTCTAAAGATACATTTATTTTATACGTGTGTGTATGAGTATAGGTATGTGCAAAGCATGCTTGCAGTACCCACAGAGGCCAGAGGAGGGCATCAGATCTCCTGGAACAGGAGTTGTAGATAGTTTATGAGCCACTGACATGAGTGCTGGGAACTGAAACTGGGTCCTCTGAAAAAGCAGTACATGCTGTTAACCACTGAGCCATCTCTCCAACCCTGTATGGTGTCTAAATGTAGGCTCATGACCAAATCACAGATTTCCTTTTATCTCCAGAAAATCTAATTTCTGTGCTTTTCAGGAAACTAAAAGACTAAGACCTTAAAGCTCGACCCAGCCATTGCTGCTAGTAGAATTCATAGCTGTGGTATCTCTGCACTGTTGCCTTTCTTGCCCATGCCATGTGAGCTGTGCCACTGATTGGGCAGGCCCACATGCGGGATTAACTTCCTCAGAAGAGGTGCTTGCTGGTCAT